CCCGCGCGCGACCCGCGCGACAAGCGCGACAAGGCGGTCCACGAGCGCGGCCACTGGAACAACAAGGTTGAGTTCGTGCTGAGCGTGGCCGGGGAGATCATTGGGCTGGGCAACGTGTGGCGCTTCCCCTACCTGTGCTACAAGAACGGAGGAGGTGAGGTGATAGGGAGGAGAAGGGGAGGTGGCGCCACCCGCCCGGTGGGGGCGGGGAACCAGGGGCTAGCGCGAGACCCCCTCCCGCGCCTGCGTGGAGCGGAACCCGAGCGGAGAACCTCGACTCCCGGCACCTGGCGCGTGAGCTCGTCCGGAGCGCGGCCCACCTGTGCCAGTGCGCACGCGCACGTGCCAATTCGCACCTGAGGGTTCCACCGGCCAGCGCGGGGACTTGCCCGCGTTCTGTCCTCAGCGTGAGATGCAGAGCGAGGCCAGGGAGCCCTTGCTTTGGTTACGCGCCCTGATGTTTCAGGCACTTGGCCCCTTTGAGCCTCAGCTTTCCTAACTGGGGAAAAAGGCCTGTGGAGAAGGGACTCCTGATGATCAAAGTGGTCTCAGTCTTTGCGCGCTTACTGAAGTGCCGAGCACCTTTGACCTATATCATCTCATCTCATCCTCTCGGTCACTTTCGTAGGCAGGGGTCTACCCATTTTGCAGATGAGGACACTGAGGGTCAGAGAAGTCTCACTCGACCAAAAATAAAGATGGGATTCTGATGTCAAAGGCCTTGTTTTAAACTGGAACTGGACTCATCACAGGGAGAACTTTTAGGCGAGGCATTGCTCGATGGTTTCCTGCCTAGTCTTTCGTCTACTCTTAAGCCCATTTTAGGGCCACTATTTGGGGCCCCTCTGGTGGAAGAATTGGCAACAAACAGTTTATTTTACGGGTCTGAGAGTCACCCACGACAAACAGCAACACTGGTTTAATGCTGATGCTCTGCTGTAGAGATGTAGAAGGGCAGAGGGAAAGGATGGTGACGAGAGAGTCCTTTCTAGTGACAGCCTCTCAAAGTCAGTTTGACAAAAGATGCAGCAGCGAATCCGTAACTCTCCCAGCTCAGGGAAGGGGCTCCAGCCTTCAGGACCCCCTCCTGTCATATCAGCAGGACAGCTGGGCTGGTCCATGGCAAGGGATCTTATAAAACCTCCTTCGGTGGCACAGTTTCTCCAAGGAAGAGCCTGTATCTGTATATTCCCTCTTCTCTTTCCTGTGCCCCTGCCCCTCCAGCAAATTCCCAAACCCCAGCGAAGGTGGCTCAGAAGTTGGCTGGCAGGGACCGCGTTGTCTGAGCAGAGCAGGACTTCCTGTGCGAGCAGCTGCCGGGAGAGCGAGAAGGGTACTGCTTGGCCCAGGCCCTTTCTTTGGGGACATTCATCCTGAAGGCACAGGCTGCTCCAAGCCTGCTCTGCACTGGTAATGAAGTGGCCGCCGGTGTTGATGGCTTGGCAAGGGAGAGAGAGGGAGTGGACTTGGAGACCCCCAACGTGCCCTGTGCTCTCGGCTCTGAATCCCGCCTCTCTTTGCAGATTCAGCGTTTGTAAACTGCGTCCACTTGGAAACCTGTGGAAATCTAGGGTAGTCCCCGGGCCCAATTTTTTTTACCTTTTTTTTTTCCATACAGGAAATGTTGTGCCCAAACAAAAAGCATTCCTAAAAGCAGAAAACAGGGTAAATTGGGTTAATTACAAATTCTGTCACAGATTTTTTTTTTCTTAAAAAAAAGGATTGTAGTGAGTAAAGTTTTTAAAATGAGTCATTTTTTTTTCTTCTGATTTGTCAAGAGTTTCCATGAGATGCATAGATCTCCTGGTTTGATTGAGTTTATTATCCTAAGGATTAGTAGCTTTGTGAATACACAGGTCAAAAGGCTTTCCGAAAGTGTCATACGTTATACGTTAGATTCTAGAGGTTTCACAGGTAAATAACAGCATGTTAGGGGACCTGCTGCAACTGATTTTAATCACTTAGATTTAGATTCAGTAAACAGATCCTCTTATCTCCTTTTCCACACTTTTTGCTTTCTAATGTAGTTGGGATATCTGCTTCTCAACTGTTTACCTTTTAAAAAACGTCCATTCTGCCCTCCTTATAGATCCCAACAATAGTTTAAAGTATTTATTTCCCAATATGAAACTTTAAATTAGCTGCTTGCCCAGAAAAGCTAATACACTTTCAAACGCTGATAGATATGGTCCTGCTATCAGGATTGATCAAAATTGTTGCTATTAATCCTTGCAGTTAAGGAGACTTCATTTAGCAAAAAGCACTTTCAGTTAAAGCCTTCATTTGTGAGATCAGATGGTAGCAAATAGCATGTGTTTCCATGCTTTGTTATTAGACAGGAGGGACAGAATGAGGGATTTGGAAAAATCCCCATTCTGGGTGTAATAGTTCATGCTCACCTCAGTTATTTAATTTGTTTCACAGAAAGACCCAGGCAATGGGTATTGTGTTTCAAATGGAAACACTAATGCTTAGGGTAGTCTCTTCCTGGACCAATTCAAAGCCAGCCTTTGCTAGATAGATTCTTTTTGCAGACTCCTTGCAAGTTGACACCACACCTGGGCCTCATGTGTAGGGGTACTTAATTCTTTGAGGCCTGATATTGTTCATTGTATAATTCCCTGAGAATGCTCTTTATGACAAAGATTGTTTGCAGGTCACTTCCAAAGTAAGAGGGAGGGGTGCCCCTCACCTGGTCTGTTGAGGTCACTTTAAAATGAAAAAGGGTGCAACATTCAGGGAAGGAATGAATTTGACCCATGCTGGAGGATGAGATGTAATTTTTTTTTAATGAGCCAATGAAACAATTTCTTTTACATTATCATCTTAGCTGCATTACAATTCTATGAGGGAAGCAGTGCAGATGTTAAAAACTGAAGCTCCATTTTACAGATGGAGAAGTTGAGGCTTGGAGATGTAAGGTGGACTCACATAAACCTAGCCCTGTTTTCTGACTCTGGTCCTCATAATGGGAACTTGAACTCAAGTTCAAAGAACATCATGTCTGGCCTGTAGTAGGTGTTTATTAAAGAGTTCTTGTGCCAAGTATGAAACGGCAGGGACAGTTTTCATCTCATTCCTTTGCATCCTTACAGGGGCATTCCTGATTCCCTACGTGGTGTTTTTTATTTGCTGTGGAATTCCTGTTTTTTTCCTGGAGACAGCTCTGGGGCAGTTCACAAGTGAAGGTGGCATTACGTGTTGGAGGAAAGTTTGCCCTTTATTTGAAGGTATGTGTTGAGTTAATGAGAAAATAAAATTTTGCACAGGGAATGTAAACTGCAAAGGCAGATTGTTTTGAAAAGATAGACTCAAGTTGCTTCCTTTCTTTTGTCCCTTCAGGCATTGGCTATGCAACGCAGGTGATTGAGGCCCATCTGAATGTGTACTACATCATCATCCTGGCATGGGCCATTTTTTACCTGAGCAACTGCTTCACTACTGAGCTACCCTGGGCTACCTGTGGGCATGAGTGGAACACAGGTATGGCCCCATGGAGGTCTCTCTGCTGGTCCTGCTGGGTGACCTGGGATTGGGGTTTGTTTGTGCCCTCCAGGCCAGTCCTGGTCCCTGGCCTCTCATCAAGAGTCTAGTTTTCTAGGGTAGTCTTGCTGAAACAGGGGTCAGCTCTGCACCTGTTCTGGTACGTTCTGTGAGTTGCAGCCCTAAAGGCTGAGCTGAGCATTGGCCCGTAGACTGGCATGGTTAGGAGAATGGAGATGTTCTGTCTTCTGTCAAATGCAGAGACTGAACCCTTTGGGGGTAGCATGGGGGTGTGAGGAAGAACACTAGACTTAGACTTAGGGGACTAGGGCTCCAATACCAGTCTTGCCTCTAGTGTCAAGTTTTCCCCTGTAAAACTGGGGTTAGACCAGATCAAGGGCTGCAGACAGAGGACCTACAGGCCAACCAGGCTTTAGATCAGTGAATGGCAAACTTAAAAAATGGATTTGGTTGCCAAAATTTAGAAAGTTGGAAGACTTCACCTGAAAAATTCAGGTTTCCAGCCTATCTTAAAAACTTAAACAATCTGGTGACACCAGACCCACTTTCCTGCTTGACAGCAGTGGCTACAGCCAAAAGGTGGCTATTGCCTTCAATGACAAATCTGTCATTGAGTTACCACAAACCCCACCCAGCTCACTTTATTCATTTACTTTATCAATCCAACCCAGCTGACATTTGAATTTAACCCCCAACCCCACTCCTGCTGGAATGGATAATCTTTTAGATTATTTTTGATTCCGATATATTCTTTGTTTTTCCATATATCCTCCTATTAGCATTGAGTTTGATAATCCAAGGAAGGCATTTCCCTGCCCAATCCCTGTCTAAGCTGGCCATACTCACAGAAGACATCGCTAATCAATTGTAGCACTCTTTCCTTCTCAGTCTAGTCTTGGCCTTAGAACCCTTCTCCAATAGTGCTCCAGACAGCTGCTGCCTTTTGACTGGAATTGGCACACACACTTTGACCTGTTCACCATCCATATGATAACCTGTGTTAGATTGTGTCTGGAAGTGGCCTGCCATCCTGAGGGCTGAGATCCAGTAAGATTGGGTAGGATGTTGGTGACCAGTAGAAGGAACCGCAGGTGGTAGACCTAGAGATGCTGCAGTGTGGCTTCTAGCCCTATGCAATGCCTGACTCTGCCCTACTCCCCTACTCCCCCAACCCCTGGCTGTTGCATTTTGTGGAGCTTTTGCTGTTTCTCTCTTTAGGGCCCTAGTTTTTAACCTTCCTTTGGCCAGGGAACTCATAGAAATGTTTATCAAACTATAATTCAAGGACATTTTCTTGGAGGCCTGTGAGTCCTCTAGGATAATATAATTGTGTGTACTTATTTTGAGGATACTCTAAAAATATGCACATGTTCTGGATGGTCTGAGCAAACACCTTATAACTGAGGACAGTCAGGAGGTTCCAGTGGCTTACTTTATGCATGTTTGTAATTTAAGATGCATTCGTGGCAGATAGAATGATGGTGGCCAAGGGTAAAAGACCAGAAAGATTTAATTCATAAATAGAGCATTATTACTAAGTGAAGTCCAGTTGAGAATGCAACACACCATGGGAATGAAAGTTTTGCAGAAGTGTAACCAGAGGAAAATGGTGTAATCAAATCTCAAATAGTTCATGGAGGAATAAACCACCTGAACTCAACAGATTCTGCTTCTTATGTGTCAGTTTCATTTTTCTGTTGGGAAAGCAATATAATTTTACCAAATGGCATTATCCTATGCATCTATTTTCTGTTATCACTTTAAATTGTGTTGGTTCTGTAGTTTGCTTGGTATTTCATTTATACATTTGATTTGGCTTTTATAATTGTATGAATACTACAATCACAAAGACTTTATAACTCATTGTTTATTTGTACGTGGTTAAATATTTTAATAAAAATAACTGGTCAACTTGGGTGTCCAAGAAATTTTTTTTTTAATCTAGGAAGAAAAAAAGAATTGAGAAATCCTATTTTAGGGAATCTGATAAAAGTCAAGGTCTCCTCTCTCCAGAAAAAGGCACAGGACACATTCAGAAATCTTGCTTATAATTTCAGGTTTCCAGGCTCCTCTCAAGCCTGACTGAGGACCCACAGACCACCTCCTTTCAGAACATAGGTAGCGCTTGCCAAGAGGATCAACAAGCAGGCAGACAATCTGGATTTTCCCCAGTGGACTGCAAACCTCTTTCTTCAAATGGTTTGCAATCCCCTTTCTCTAAAGGTGTGTGAACACTTGCAATGTGTGAACCATCACATATAGGAGGTGATTCCTGCCTGCAGAGATTACAGATGTGATTTGGAGCATTCATACGTATGTGAGATGGAAGACATGCAAGAGTGAAGCCAACCAGGCACCTGCTTCGTGCTGGCCATGGTGCAGGGTGCAGGGGCCTCTGAGGTGAATGGATACAGGAGGCCTTGCCCTTGGGGAGCTCATGGTCTGGTGCCCCAGGTGTCTCTAAACAGAGGGACATGGGTCCCATGGTGGTGGACTTTTCTGGGCAATACCCATGGCAAAGTAGATGGAGCCCTGGCTGGAGTTTATTTCAGTTCTATCCACAACTGGTCAGTGACTTTATATAGGAGGAAAATGGTATAGGTGGGGGTCCCTTGACATTTCTGAACCTTAGATTCTTCTTCCTCAAAATAAAGGGAGTTGGAGCAGGTGATTCCTTGGAGGGTCTTTGAATTCTTGCTTTCTTAGATTTCAGGGGAGGGAGGTTGGGGAAGCCCTCCTGGAGGGAAGGGTTAAGGCCCAGGGGCACTGGGCCTTGAAGGATGAATACTAGGTTGCTTTTACTTGAGATTAAATCTCCCTGGGACATCAAATTTCATGAAATGAGAAGAGGCATTCAGTAAATCCTTTCTGATTGACTGGATCGAGTGAGGGAATGATGAAGAAACCAGGGATTCTTGACATATGTTGGCTCACACCATTTCCTCCAATCATCACATTTTGATGAGACAGCTGTGGCATTAGCCCCTTTTCACATAAAGTAAAACAGTCTCAGCTGCATTACTGCCCCAAGGTCACCATGCATGATCCATTCGTTTAGTCCTTCTATTCCACTAGAGCCCTTCAGCCAGACAACTAAATGCTACTGATGGGCCTCAGACAGGGAAGTGGAAAAAAGAAAAGAAGATTTGGGAACAAGGGTAGAGGAGATGGTTTGATAGGGAGTGTTGGTTGGGAATGGGAGAGAGAAGGTCCCCTTCCCCATAAACTTTTCCTCCTGTTCTAATCAGTCCAAACCTCTTAACTGTTTGTAAAATATTGATTTTCCCCAATGCCCTTTGACGCATGTTTACTTGGAGCGGCTACATGAAAATGCCTAGTTGCACATCCTAAATGTTTTTCAGGATTCAGCTTTCATGGAGGTTAATTTTCTTCTATTTCTTGTCTGTTTCCACTGTAGAGAATTGTGTGGAGTTCCAGAAACTGAATGTGAGCAACTACAGCCATGTGTCTCTGCAGAATGCCACCTCCCCCGTCATGGAGTTTTGGGAGTAAGTGGAGAAGAACTTGTCTCCTTTGGCCTATGGGGGCTCTGTCCTGGTTCTGCTCACTTGGTCTTGCCCGTATTCCTGGAAAAAGCCTGATCCTTCATTCCAGCCTGGCACTTCCTGGCTTCTGTGAGCATTCGACGGCTTCGGAAGCAAGAGTGCACATCTTCAGAGGTTTCCCAAAGGGGCAGCTGAGAGAAATGTTTTCTTGTTCTTTGATAACATGTCAGCGTGCATAGTTGCTTATTAGGGCAGGAAGTGCTTAGTGAAAGGATAGACAGTTTAAAAATTCATTTTGAGCAAAAGAAGAGATGCAGCCTGTTTGCAATAAGCTAAGTCAAGAGTGTATTTAGCCTGGAAAGCGTAGATCTCTAGGGGGGATGGATTAGCTTTCTTTCAGTAGCTGAATTGTCATATGGAAAGGAAGGAGATCAACTTTAATGGATAGAGATTATAAAGAAGCAGGTTTTAAATGTGCGTAGGGAAGAGCTTGGTCTCACAGCATTGCATTGTCTGAAAGTACTTCAGAAGGTTGTGAGCACCTGTCCCTGGAAGTTGACCAGTATAGGGTTGCCAATCATTGTTGGGGGTGTGTCTGAATCCACTGAAATTGTAAGTAGTACTTGTGTGGATGGGCATTTTCCCAGAAATTGGCCTAGTTTTATCAGAGTTCCAAAGGATCTGTGACCCTCACAGGTCTGCCGAGTGTGGTTGTGTACACTGCACACTGAACAACCCAAGGGGTCATAATTTACATTATGAAATATACATTCCAGAATTGTGTGGTGCCCGACCTGTATAACCATACGCAGTGGCCCTGACTTGCAAGTTTGTTATAAAGGTAGAAGGATCCCTTGCCCCAGGTATTGGAGAGAAGTTTCCTGTATGGGTCAAAGGCTGGACTAAATGCTTTCTGAAGCTTTGCAATCTAAAAAGTCCTGGCTTCATTGAAGAAGCCTCCATTACTCTGATGATGATTAATAGTAGTGTATGTGTGTGTGGTGGGGCAGTGATTTATGAGTGATTTTTATTCTCTTCCCAGATACCATTCATCTCCTGCCCTCTCTAGAGGTCATTATGCTGAATTTAGATTTACCACTCTCATGTACATCTTTATACTGGCGTATATATATCCCAAATAGCACCTAGGTATTTCTTGCATATTTTTCAAATTTTATGTTACTAGTATCTATTACTTACATTTTCTATAACAACTTTATTTCTTTTCTCAATATTGGTTCTTAGATGTATCCATATTGGCACATGTAGCTTTGGTTCTTTCATTTTTCTACCAGAGTATTTCATTGTATGAATGGCCTATATTGTATTTATCCAGGTCCTCTGATGGGCATTTAGACTATTGCCCATTTCTCACTATTATTAAGTACACTGAGTAAAAATGTCTAGTCTGTTCTTCCTTGAGTGGAATTGCTGGGTTGTGGCATACATGCGTTGTCGGTTTTATCATATAATGTAAAATTGCTTTAGAAAGAAATTAATCTAGGCCAGGCATGGAGGCTCACCTCTGTAATCCCAGCACTTTGGAAGGCCTAGGTGAGCGGATCACCTGAGGTCAGGAGTTTGAGGCCAGCCTGGCCAACATGGTGAAACCCTGTCTTTGCTAAAAATACAAAAATTAGCTGGGTGTGGTGGTTCATGCCTGTAATCCCATCTACTCAGGAGGTTGAGGCAGGAGAATCGCTTGAATATGGAAGGGGAAGGTTGCAGTGAGCTGAGATCACGCCACTGCACTCTAGCCTGGGCGACAGAGCGAGACTCTGTCTCAAAAAAAAAAAAAAAAAAAAATTAATCTAATACACTCCAAGCAAGAGTTTGTGAGAATTTCTATAGCTTCACATTTTGGACAGCACTTGGTCTGTTCAGTTTTTGTTTTGCCAGTGTAATGGGCATTAAATGATATCTTAATTCACATTTCTGTGATTACTTGTGAGGTTAAGCACCCTTTCATGTTTTGTTTTGTTGTCTGTTTTTTGCTATTTGATTTCTGTACCTGTGAACTTCAGGTTTATATTATTTTCTATTTGGATTGTTTGTCTTTTCTTACAGATAGAAATTGTTGATACATTCTAGATATTATCTTTTCCCAGTGTGTGGCTTTTCTTTGTTATTTATGGTATACCGAAGTTTCCATTTTACTGAAGTCGAATTTGTCAATTTTTCTTCTGGGTTTGCAGAGTTGGTGTCTTATTTAAGATATATTTCCCTACCCCAAAGTTGAAAAAATTTTCCATAGTTTCTTCTAAGAGTTTTACAGTTTTTTGGGTTTTTTTTTTCACATTTAGGAGTATAATCCATCTGGAATTTTATGTTTTTAATGTTGTTTTAGGTAGAAATCCAGGTTTTAATGGATAAATAACCTATTTTCCCAGCAGGAGTTACTGATCATTCATTCTTGTCTGATTTGTAGTGCCATCTTCTACACATAATTTCCTTTAAGCACAAGTCTGTGTTTGGGCTCTCTGTTCTGTTCCATTGGTCTCTTTGTCTCTGTGCCCATACCACACCTATAGTTTTTTTGTAAGCCTTGAGCCTGTAAGGCAAGTCTCTCACTTGTTCTTTTCCAAAATTGTTTTAGTCTTCTAAATGAATGTCAGAATCAGTTTGTTGAATTAAACAAGAACAGCAATTAAAAAAAAACTCTGTGAGAGTTTTGATTAAAAGTCTATTGAACTCATGGGTTAATTTGAGAAAATTTGACATCTTTATGATCCAACCTCTCTGTCTATGGACATGGTATAGCTAGTTCTCCATTTGTTTACATCTTTTAAAGTGCTTTATAGAGTAGTGCTACTTAAATGTGGTCTACAGAGTAGCAGTATTTTAATCACCTGGTTACCTACCCCAGGCCTACTGAATCATAGTCTCAAATCCATCAGATTTGTACTTGAAAGGAGACTTCTGTGCTGGGTGGGCCTTTGTGGTCTTTCCCAGTCTCATTGGGCTGAGGTTTCCTGGAAGAATGTCAGAGACTTGTATTGGACCTGCACATTTGGGGTTCTGCAGAACAGTTTCTGTGCTCCTTTAGAGAATTCACCCTGAAACTCCAGACTGGACAAGGTCTCTGTGTTAGTTACTGTTGTTTTTGCACCATTCATTTCCTTTGTAACATATATGGAAAACCTTAATTAAATCATTATTTGTATAATATTTGTTCGTTGTCTATATTCCCCAACAGGCAATCATGAAGCGGCACCTTGTCTGGTTTTACTCATCATTGCCAGGCTATGGAAGGCCCTCTGTGAATATTTATAGACTAGATGGACGGATGAGGAAGGCAGACAGGCAGGCAATATGTCCTAGAAAATACTATATGAGAAGAGTCAAAGTGGGCTCTGGCAAGAACACATGCTGTCATTAAGCCTCTCACCCAACAGCATTGATTAATTCCAGGACCCCTTTGCAATATCCATATTATCCATTTATTTGGACACCAAGGGCAGGCAAGGGCAGTTTGTCTGCATGCTCATCAGTATGGACCATCCTGCCAGCTACTTGGTTACTCAAGATGAAAGTTCATGAGAAAATGAACCCATGGTTCTAGTTTTCTATTCAGATTGCATCTCTGTCTGTATCATCCATGCAGTGTTGAATCCTGTATCCTAAAAGTACTCAAATACTAGTGGGACACACACCCCTTCATACAATTATGCTTTTGTCAGACACCTCTAATTCTTCTTTACCCCTGAGCTGAGATTGGAATATAGAGATTGTGTGAGATGTTCATATCATCCTATGAAAAGCTTTTGAGCCATCTAAGTTTGAGAAGGGATGAAAGCTGTGTCCTTCAGTGAGAATATCCATTTACCTTTGCTGAACCCAAATTCCCAAACTTATTTTCCTATGGACTAAATTAGAATCCCTTCCCTCTCTCTGACCCTGCCCCAGTGTACTCCACCCCCTGAATGCTCGCATTCCGCTAAATGCAGTCTGGGAAACATTTTGCTAGGAATAAGTTCTTCCTTAAATTCAGCCAAAAGTTGATTTCTGGGGCTCTGATATAGCATACCTAATTGCTTTTCTGTGTGACAGCACTCTTCAAGTATTGGATCAAGCTTCCTCAAAAACATTTCTTCATCTCTCTTTGTTGTTTCCTTGTGTGTCTGGTTTCATGGGATCCTGTTGTCCTTTTCATACTGCCTCCAACTCCAGGGACTTCAGTGAAGGCCACATTGCTCAAAGTAGACTGCCTAGGCTGTCTGTTATTATAGTTCATTCATTTGACAAACATCTGAGCTCCTGGTACACATAAGAAAGACACGGTGTCTTATTTAGGGGAAGCAAAGATGGAAGATGAGGTTCTAGTCTCTGGAAGCAGAGGTGAGACAAGCCCACAGATAACCTTAAAATCATTTACAGGGCACTACTTCTCTGCCTGCATCTGGCCATGGCTTTGCCTTGGCCATGGGCACCTGGCCTGCCCACCCCCATCTTGAAGTGTCAATTCCCTTTTCAGATGTAATTAAATTTGCTGGCTTAGCCCATGAGAGAAGCTCGGGCCCTAGATCAGTCCTGGATTCTGACTCTTATGGGGGGTCCTACAGGGCCAGGGCTGCTTGTCTTCCTAATGTCAGGCTTCAAAATTAGGCCACCCTCGTTTCCCTTAGTAACCCATTATGCATCTGGCATCCGTGCATTTATCTAAATGTGTCTGCAGTTCTAAATTTTGAGCCTGTACCCTCTGGTGGGATTGAATGCTATTTAGTGCATAACCAATATTGTGGCATCAGATGGACATTGATTCATCTTCACTTCCCTTTCTCAAGCCTCCAAGTCCTGTTAGTCCAGGGTTGGGGGAGCAACTCCGTTCTTGCTATGTATACAACCAAAATTGTTTTTGCGCAGCGTCCATTCAGCAAGCACATGTTGAGCACATATTGTGTGCTGGGCCCAAATTAAGCTCTAAGGGTATTCAGTTCTATTTATTCAGAAGGATGAGGCCTTATTTTTCTGGTTTATCTTCACTGGAGGAGTTTTGTTTTTAG